CTGGTGTCAAGGAAGACAACTTGATTTGTGAACTTCAGAAAGTTAAATTTCTTCTAGAAGTTTCACTGGGAGCTAGAAAGGGCCCCTCATTGAAACTCCTTGACTAACCTTATTTTCATTTTCAAGCGCCACCCTTGAACAAGCTGAAGCTGGTGCACTCGAACCTGGAAGATGACCCTGAGGAGATCCGGATGGAATTCATAAAGTATTTAAAAAGCATCATCAACTCCATGTCTGAGAGCAGAGACAGGGAAGAGATGTCAATTATGACCTAGCCAGCCTTCACCTGGGACTGCCACCTCCCCAGTGAAATCAGCATGTTTCTTGGTGCAGATCTGAAATCACATCCAGCTCCTGATGTTTTCTTCTCCCTGTGACTGCAGAGGAAGTGTTCCTACCTGCAGGAAGGCACCTGTCACGCAGGACATTCACTCAGACCATCTATGCTCTGTCCTGAGTTCAGTTTAGAAAATCCTATCATCGAATTCAGATTTCCTGGCCCCAGAAGTTCCCAAAGACCTATAAAATGGAGGGATTTACCACCTTCACATATGTCCAGTTATATAGTTTGTGGAATTGTAACCGTTGCAGCCCAATGATACAACAGTAGTTTAATCATGTGTATTGGCTTGAATGTAATTTTCATTCCTTGATTTACCCAACAAACACCGATGGGTTGAGCACCTGCTGTGTGTGCACCACTGTCCTAGCTGCTGACTGCAGACAGCATGCATGAAAAAGACACAAATCCCCACCCTCGCGGAACTCATTCCATTTTCCTAAATATTAGGTTGGTGCAGAACTAATCGCGGTTTTTGCCTTTTAATTTTTAATGGCAAAAGCCACAATTACTTTTGCACCAACCTAATAGTAAGGCCAATTCAGAAACTTGAGTGCAATGTCTTGGATATGCAAAAAAGAAAATCAAAATGCATTCTTCATTCTCTGTAAGAGTTCTAGGTGGGGCTCAGTGGCTCACACTTGTAATCTCAGCACTTTGGGAGGCCAAGGCAGGCGGATCACTTGAAGCCAGGAGTTCAAGACCAGCCTGGCCAACATGGCAAAACCCTATCTCTACTAAAAATATAAAAATTCACAGGGTGTGTTGGCACATGCCTGTAATACTAACTACTCGGGTGGCTGAGGCATAAGAATTGCTTGAGCCTGGGAGGCAGAGGTTGCACTGAGCTAAGATCGCACCACTATACTCCAGCCTGGGTGACAGACACCATGTCTCAAATAGATGAAATTACATTAAATGTTTAAAAAGAGGTCTAAATAAGTTTCATATGCTGCCCTCCCTCAGATAATGTGGGAACCTGGGGTACTTAACATGCCAAATGAAGGTATACTTGATCGTTATCCATAGATTTTGTATTTGAGAATTTGCTTACTCACTAAAATATGTTTGTAACCCCCAACTGTGGCTCTTTCTCAGTTATTTGCAGACATACAGAGTGATATAAAATGTGAAGTGCCTGGCTGGGCGTGGTGGCTCACACCTGCAATCCCAGCACTTTGGGAGGCCGAGGCAGGCAGATCACAAGGTCAAGAGATAGAGACCAACCTGGCCAACATGGTGAAACCCCATCTCTACTAAAAATACAAAAATTAGCTGGGCGTGGTGGGGCGTGCCTGTAGTCCCAACTACTCAGGAGGCGGAGGCAGGAGAATTGCTTGAACCTGGGAGGCGGCGATTGCAGTGAGCTGAGATTGCACCACTGCACTCCAGCCCGGTGACAGAGCAAGACTCCGTCTCCAAGAAAAGGGAAAAAAAAAAAAAATTGAAGTGCCTGGCCAGTTGCAGCGGGTCACGGCTGTAATCCCAACACTTTGGGAGGCCGAGATGGGAGAACTGCTAGAAACCAGGAGTTCGAGACCAGCCTGGCCAACATGGTGAAACCCCATCTCTACTAAAAGTACAAAAATGTGCCAGGCGTGTTGGCACACACCTGTAATACCAGTACTTAGGTGGCTGAGGCATAAGAATTGCTTGAGTCTGGGAGGCAGAGGTTGTAGTCAGCCAAGATTCTGCCACTGTACTCCAGCCTGGGCAACAGAGTGAGACTATCTCAAACAAAAAAAGAAAAAAAAAGGCTGAGTGCATTGGCTCAAACCTGTAATCCCAGCACTTTGAGAGGCAGAGGCAGCTGTATTACTTTAGGTCAGGAGTTCCAGATCAGCCTGGCCAACATGGTGAAACCCTGTCTCTACTAAAAGTACAAAAATTAGCCGGGCATGGTGGCAGGTGCCTGTAATCCCAGCTACTCAGGAGGCCGAGGCCAGAGAATTGCTTGAACCCAGGAGGTGGAGGTTGCAGTGAGCCGAGATTGCGCCACTGCACTCCAGCCTGGGCAGCAGAGCAAGACTCTGTCTCCAAAAAACAAAGAAAAAGAAAAAAGAAAAAATACGATTGGGAAATCAAGACTGTGGCAGACTAGAAAAAGAATGTGGCAGGTTTAGTTTATTTTAAACTAAAAATAGTTTAAAAACTATTTTTAAAGTAGTTACAATAAGAAATGCATTGCTATTTTCATTATAAGCCTAAAAGATTTACTTGGTCACTGGGGATGTTTTCAAATTTTAAGTTACTCTGTTTTTAACGACCCTGTTTCGTTATCCTGTTACATAACTATCTATAAACTATACATAACAAAGTTTACCATTCTAGCCATTTGGAAGTATATGGTTCAGTAGCATTCAATACACTCACATTGTTGTACAGCCATCACCACCGTCCATCCCCAGAACCCTCTATCATCCCTAACTCAAACTGTACCCACTTAACATCTCCCCATTCCTCCTTCCCCAGCCCTTGACAACCACCATTCTGCTTTCTGTCTCTATGACTTTGCCTCCTCTAAGTTCCTTATATAAGTGGAATCCTACACTATGTTTTGTCTTTTTGTAATACTAACTACTCGGGTGACTGAGGCATAAGAATTGCTTATTTCCCAGAGCTTAATGATCTCAGGGCTCACCTGCCTTGTAGCATGTATCAGAATCTCCTTCCTTTTTAAGGTGGTATAATATTCTATCCTACACATTTTATTTATCCATTCATTTGTTGATGGACATTTCGGTTTTTTCACCTTTTGGCTCTAGCGTATACACTGCTAGCAGCATGGGTGTACAGTTCACCCAGGATACTTTGGAAGGTTAAAAGCATTTAATTTCTCCAAAAGGCCGGATGCGGTGGCTCACACCTGTAATCCAAACACTTTCGGAATCTGAGACGAATGGAAATTCTGAGGTCAGGAGTTCAAGACCAGCCTGTCCAACATGGTGAAGCGCCATCTCTACTAAAAATACAAAATTTAGCTGGGAGTGATAGCGTGCCTGTAATCCCAGCTACCTGGGAGGCTAGGGCAGGAGAATCACTTGAACCCAGGAGGCGGAGGTTGCAGTAAGCTGAGATCGTGACACTGCACTCCAGCCTGGGCAACAAGAGCAGAACTCCATCTCAAAAAAAGTGCCAAGCACGGTGGCTCACGCCTGTAATCCCAGCACTTTGGGAGGCCAAGGCAGGTGAATCACAAGGTCAGGAGTTCAAGACCAGCCTGGCCAACATAGTGAAACCCCGACTCTACTAAAAATACAAAAAATTAGGCATGGCGGCGAGCACCTGTAATCCCAGCTACTCAGGAAGCTGAGACAGGAGAATCGCTTCAACCCAGGAGACAGAAGTTTCAGTGAGCCAAGATCGCACTATTGCACTCCAGCCCCAGCAACAGTGCAAGACTCTGTCTAAAAAAAAAAAAAAAAAACTCTGCAAAACATTATATTTATTTAGATGACCTTGATTATGGACACTATATCCAGTTGAAAAGTGGAGTACAGACATAATTTTTTTTTTTTTTTTGAGACACGCTGTCACTCTGTCATCCTGGCTGGAGTGTAGTGGCATGACCACAGCTCACAGCAGCCTCAACCTCCTGGGCTCCACTGATCTTGCCACCTCAGCCTCCGAGTAGTTGGGACTAGAGATACACGCACCAGTAATGGTCCATCCCACTAATTAGTGCATGCCTAATTTTTGTATTTTTTGTAGAGATGGGGTTTTGCCATGTTGCCCCGGCTGATGTCAAACTTCTAACCTTGAGTGGCCCGCCCATCTCAGCCTCCCAAAGTGGTGGGATTACAGGCATGAGTCATTGTGCCCAGCCCATACACAACTTCTAAAAAATTTTTCTTAACACGAAATTGGTAAACATGTTCTAAAGATTTAATGTACAGAATCACTATATATGGTGAGTTTATGGTTTATTGTAAGGTTTGTTTTAATCATCTTAAGAGTTTTTGTTTTGTTTTTTTGAGACAGAGTCTCACTGCAACCTCTACCCTCCAGGTTCAAGCAATTCTCCTCCCTCAGCCTCGCCTTCCGAGCAGCTGGGATTACAGGCACCTACCACTGCGCCCAGCTAATTTTTGTATTTTTAATAGAGACAAGGTTTCACCATCTTGGCCAGGCTGGTCTTGAACTCCTGACCTTGTGATCCACCCGCCTCAGCCTCCCAAAGTGCTGGGATTACAGGCATGAGCCACCGTGCCTGGCCATGGAGTTATTTTTCATTCATAATTGCTGTTTGTAATTTTTTAACATAGCCAACAAGAAAATACACTAAGTAGATCAAATGGTAGATATAGCTCTTTACAGTTGAGAGTGGGAGAAAAAGTTGAGGCACCTAAGGGAGAAGAATAAAAATGCTAGGGTGTCTGTCACTTTCACAGTGAGGAGGGCTGACATGTAGCAGCTGTGTGAGCAGTCTATTGGAGAGAGTGGCTTTTCTAGTAGACCACAATTCCCTGGCAATTTAGTTTGAACCACATTCACCTGTTGGATTACCAAGAGTACTATTAATGTCAACTGAACTAAATCATCTTTCCATGACTGCTGCCTAACAAGAATCCGTCTTGCAAAATTGACCACCTCAAAAAGAAATTATTTTCATTTCACCTTTAATGATTATCCAAGACCCCAGTATAACAATTAACCCAGCAGATTTTGTTCACATGAATGGCCAGAGTACAACCCTTTAAATCTTTGAATTGAGAAAAAGGCTTCAGATTTTAAGTTTTGAGAGTTTTTTTTCTGCTTCATCTAGTCTACCATTGAAGCTTTTGAGTGTACTTTGTATTTCATCCAGTGATTTCTTCAGTTCCACATTTGCCACGTGCTCTGGTAAACTCTGTAACTGGTTGGTAAATACCTCAAGCATATCCAGAATTGCTACTGACGTTTCCCTACTTTCTTTTTCAGAAGTCTCTTGAATCCCCCTAATCTTGGCTAAAATCAGTTTCCACAATTCTCTATATGACATTTCTTGAATTTCTTTTGTATGGGGATCTGTTGCTGGAGAATTACTGGGTTCCTCTGGAGGCATCCCACTTCCTTGCTTTTTCACGTTTCCCGTGTCCTGTTGAAATCTGCGCATCCTGTGTAAATTGCTTCTTCCAAGTTTGTGAACTCACTTTGTAGGGGAGGACTTCTTCCTGAAAATGTAGATATGGTGTTGGTTAGGTGGGGCATTTTGGCTTTGATTTGGGGTAGTATTGTAGGCGCTGCATGATTTCTTGGGTGGTTATTAGTGGAGGGTGTGGTTGCTGGGGACTAGGAGGCTAAGGTGGGCCAGTCTTTGAGCCCCAGTGGTGGGCTGAGCTTGCCTCATTCTTAAACCTAGGAGCGGTGTAGGCTGGCTGTGGCGTTAATGGGTTCAGGGGAGCAATTTGGGGTCCTCTAGGTGCCCTGCTCGAATCCTGGTAGTGGCAGCCCCAGCTAAGCTCGTAGTTGATCCCAGGCCCCAGACCAGCGGGTGTGATGTGGGTGAAGGCAGTTGGGGGGCAACCCACCAGAACCCAGGCCGTCTCTGCTGGTGTTGGAGGTGGTTGCCATGGGTTGGGCGGGCAGGTGACTCCCCTGGCCGGCAGGTGGCCTGTGGTGGTATCCCACAGGCTGGGCCCCAGACCCCACACCCCGGGGAGGAGTGGTCAGGCACCACCGGTGGTGGAAGGGGCAGAACAGCCCCCAATCCTCAGGCCCCTGGCCCGTGTGCTCAAGATCCTCAGGGGACGGAGCCGCCAGCGGACTGTCCTCAGGCCCCCGAGGTTTGGGCTCTGGCTGTGACAGACAGGGAAGGACTGGTCCCCAGGCTGCCGGCGGAAAGCTCAGGTGAGGCAGGGCGGGCGCGCAGTTGGCTCGCGTCTGGGTCCCGCGGGCAGCAGCGGGTTATTTATCCTTTGGGACTCCTGAGACCGCTCGGCCTTCCTCTCCCTCCCTGGCCCTCAGCTGGCTGCGGCGGTTACCGCAGGCAAGGCAGGAGCTGCCCTAGGGGCTGGACTCCGGGTGGCGGAGGCTGCAGCTGCAGCTGCTCAGGGCAGGGAGGCCCATGGGCTCCACGTGGGCCCCTGCAACGCCGCTGGGGAATCTCTCCACCGCTGCCCCCTATTCTGGAGGCCCGCGAGGGTCAGGTGGCTGCGGCCAAGTCCGTGTGGGGACTACGGAACCCCGTGGTCTCTCACTCACCCTTTCCCCGCGCGCGGGAGCTACAGGCCGTCCCCGCCTATCCGATTTCTCTGCAAAGGCTGCCTGGGTGCCTCTGCTCCGCTCCTCGAGCTCCCCGTGGGTTCTCGACTGAATCCCGCGTTCTCTCAGCGGATCTGCTGCAAGTGTGAAAAGCTACAGGCTCCTTCGGTTCCCTTCGGAGGAGAGGCGCGTGCAGGTTGCATCTACCCGGCCATCTTGAGCCTGTGGTCCTGGGCGGGAACGGGTCCCAAGTGCGCGAGTTACGCAAGGGCGTTCCCTGGAGGGTCCGGGTCGGCCCCGCCCCCTCATTCCTGGGAAGGCCCCGCCCTCCCGTTCCAGACTCGACCGAAAGCTCCGTGTGCACACGGGTGTGTTAGCTAATAGAAATGGGAGCAGACCGTTTACACTTTTCCACAAAAGTGTTCATTTTTCACTTTTTTGTTGTTGTTGTTAAGACGGAGTGCAGAGGCGCGATCTCGGCTCACTGCAGCCCGGGTCCAGGGTAAAGCAATTCTCCTGCCTCAGCCTCCCGAATAGCTGGGATTATAGGCAAGCGTCACCACGCCCAGCTAATTTTTCTATTTTTGGTAGAGACGGGGTTTCACCATGTTGGCCAGGCTGGTCTTGAACTCCTGACCTCGTGATCTGCCAACCTCAGCCTCCCAAAGTGCTGGGATTATAGGCGTGAGCCACTGCGCCCAGCCATTTTTCACTTTTTATACTGGGGATTTGTGTCAGTACTCGCAGAGCCACCTTATTCTTTTTTTTTTTTTTTTTTTGAGACGGAGTCTGGCTCTTGTTAGCCAGGCTGGAGTGCAATGGTGCGATCTCGGCTCACCACAACCTCCGCCTC